GTTATCCTATTTGGTCCTTGGTTTTCTTTGAATGTTTCAGAAGAAATGAGATGCATAGATGTTATATGCCTAGATATGATGAAATTGTACTTAGAAATGGCTCACTATTCATTGCTGTCTTTGTAAGGGCTTTTGAAAAATATATCCAACAATGTATCGTCATACTTAATTTAACAATAATTCCTTATAATCATCTAATATTTCATTCAGATTTACATTTCTTTCTTTTCTCAAAAATATATTTTAACAAGTGGATGGTCTGAGTCAGAATTCATTTAAGAACTATTATATTTAGGGTCTCCTGCCTGCTCCACCTTCCTTTATTTTTGTTGCTGGTCCGGACATCAAAGCCAGGGCCTTGCACATTCTAGGAAAGTGCCTGGCCTCTAAACACACTCCAGCCCCTTCTGCTTTTGTGATGGGCGTGGCACCCTCCCCTCTCCCTTGCCCATTGATTTGTTTAAGAAATTGGGTCATTTGTCCTCTAGACTAATTTGGATTTGGCTAATTGCTTCCTTATTGTGTCATTTAACTTGTTTTTCTAACTCCATTTCCCCTACATTGATGGCAAATTCAGCTTCTTGGTTAGATTTGTATTAAGTTTTTAAGAGAAGAATCCTGCACGGAGGAACTATGTACTTGCCTTGGTATCATGTTATGAATCATATGTTTAGTTGTTTCACTCTTGTACTACACAAGTTTGATCAGTGGGTTCACGTATTGTCAGCTCCATACCCACATTTAAAAATTTATATAATGTCTTATCTAATCAGAACCATTGTTGCCTAGATATTCAGTATTTCATTTGGTATTGTGAAACAGTGATTTTCCAATTTAGGTATTCTGCATTTGTTAGCTGTTCTGTCAGGAGCTGTCATGTATTTTCATGCTTTTTGTTTCTCCTGAGTACAGTTTGGGAAGAAAAGGGCAAGAAAATACTCACTTTCTCCTCCCTCATTTTTCAATTTTTGAATGACTTCCTATTCTGAAAAACCTGCAGAAGACACTAATGATGTGTTTTCCCCCTTTGTTTTCATTATGTGTCTTTGAATTTGTGAATTTTAAAAGTATTTTCTGTAGCTTCCTTTTCTATCTGGATATTAGAAATATTGTAGATTTGTGTACTTTGGTTTTTTAAATCTAGCAATCTTGCTAAATTCTTTTTAACTTTATTTTTAGATTTTCATTGGCAAATGGAAGTTTCTTACTCTGCTATTCAAATGTTTACAGCTGTTACTTTTTTTCCTTTCCTTACTGCAGTAGTATAGGATTCTAGTACTATTTACATAAAAATAAAGATAATGTAACCCTTCTCTTGCTCCTCACTGGAAATAATGTGGTTTGTTAAAGGTTTTATATTAGATTATATTAGGTTAGGATTTATATTAGCTAATTTTTATGTTCCAGTGCTTTTTTGTCTTGTATTAATATTTAGTTTTATACACTTTTCTACATCTGTTACCATGATTGTATGCATTTTCTACTTTTAACACCTTTTTTTTTATAATGTCGACCTTCTATTCCTGGAATGAGCTCAACTTTGTTAAGTATTAATGTCCTTTGTTGGTTGAATTTAATATACTAATATATTCAGAATTTTACATTTATATTCATGGGTAAGGGTGGCTTTATAATTTTCACTTCTAATACTCTTCTCTTGATTTTCTTGATTAGTGTTTCTCTACCTTCATAGGGAAATTTTTTCCTATTCTCTGAAAGAGTGTGTTGAAGAGTGGAATTACTTTTCCTGTAGTTATTGATAGGACTCATTAAGAAACCACCTGGGCTTGGAAACACCTTGTTGGAAGAATTCTCATATGGCTTAGTTTTTGGCTTCTTGAAGAAAATAAGGTGGTAGGATCTTCTTGTGAAGACAAAGCTGGTGGTTAAAGGGGAGAAATTCCATCACTTATTATTACTAACTGAATACTTGATGTATTATTTTTATTTGCAAAAAATTATTTCGTAAAAATTACCGTATTGAATATACCTTTTTAACAATTGGAGATGTGCTATATTTAATAGAGTTGCTTATTTGTATATTAACCCTTTTAAATTTGTAAGATTTCTGAATAATGAATCAAGAGTCTGAAGGATTTTTGAGTTTCTACTCTTGGCTCTGCCACTTTCTGTTTTGTATGTGTCTCTTAGTGTCTGTATCTTGTATTCCATATTTATTATCTGAGTATTTACTTCATAAAATTTTTGTGAGGATAGGCTAAAATTGTTTTATAAACTGTAATGTAAGCCATATAAATGGAACGTTTTAAAGTTAATGAATACAGATACAATTTCCAAAGACAGAGTTGGAAAGGACCTTTATCTTTCGGAGTCATTCTAGTTTATAGAAAATGGAAGCCTGAGAAGCTCAAGAAATGCCGGAGGTTGTCTGTAGTAAGCAAGTACACAGAGCTGACAACGTAGCCTGGGCTTCCGGCTCTCTAAATCATTGCCTTCTTTCAAATGAAATGCTAGGTCAATGGAGAGAAACTTTGACTTCTTCAGTTACATAGTTGAGTGTATCATTCCTAAGACTTTTAATAGAAAAGTACATGTGACATTAGGGGGAAAAGGAATTTTAAGGCTTTAGTTTCTTAAGTTACCAGTAATTAAAACTGCTGTCAAAGTAGTTATTGAACCCCCCCCCCAACATGTGCACAAAGAGAGCTTTGTCCTACTTTTCGGGGATTACAGTTCATCTAATACAGTACAGGAGTATGGGCCTGTGTGGTTGCTGCTTAACACTACACTGAAATTCAGTTGAAATTTTACTTTAGAAGCCATTACTTCAGTATAAATTTGGTAAAACTTTAATTTGTAACTAGCACAAAATCTTTCAGTATAACTGTGCTTGTTAAAGGGTGTTCCTTGAAGTCCAGTTTTTCAATTCAATTCTTTAATTCTTTCTAAATGTTTTCTAGAGAGTTACTCTTTCCTTCAGTTTCTTAGAGTTGAAAGTCTTGTTATTATTTGAGGTTTGAAGGTTCAGTTTGAACTTTGAAGAAGTTCCAGTTATTGTGATTTCTTAAAGCCCAGAGAATATATATTCTTTCTTTCACTCCCCTCTCCCCTCACCCCCATGACCTGCTGAAGCCAAGAGCAAGAAAAGGAAATCCCAAACTGACTGCATCCCCTTCCTTCCCTCCAGCCCAACAGGTTCCTCTCCTGCATCAAGCACAGCACATACTTTAATTGATAATCCTTAACTCCAATTCTGTTGTCTGACCTTACTTAAGAATTTTCTCTTTCTATTGCCAACATATACCAATTAAAGAAAAAAAGAAAAGGAATTCCTCTCTCTTTCCTTTTTCTAAAACCTTCTCCAAAGAAAGTTGCTCTCTGTGAAATGATGTGATAGTGCCAAAATATTTTCTTAGGAAATTTTAGCCTTAAGTATTTGTGTCTATGTAGTTTTGTAGACAATATTTATAGCATATTTTAAATGTTTTGAAAAATTTTACTAAAGGCCTTTTGATTTTTATTTTTTACAGAGATATCATCAAATGCTAGATTTGTCAATATTTTAGATAAAATGATTTTTTAGGAACTGAGGCTGTGTTCATTCTGTTTCAATAAACATTTGTATACAATTAATTATATGTTTTATTGCTTTAAAATTGAATGACAGATTTAATATTTAGCAGTTGTATAGGCTGTGCCATTTATTTCTCTGAAAATTAGAACATTTTCTTTTTTTTTTTCAGCTTTAATTGAGTTTATTGGTACATTTTAGGGATACTAGAACATTTTCTTAAAAAAGTTCATTCCCTATGTCCTCATCACAAAAGTGGTAATTAGAATCTGTCATGGAGAAGAATCAGCTCTTTATGTAATAAATGTTCCTGGTTCGGTTTTATGGATGTTGTTAGCTATATTACAGTTGTACAGATTGTCTAGAACTATTTATTATTTATATTTTTCACTGTTATAGGAACCCATCAAGATCAATATTTTATGCTGATTTTGCAGTTGAGGAAATTATGATCCAAAGATGTTAAGAGGATTAATGAAGATCACATCCTTAGTGAATAGTGAGATTTGAGCTTAGGTCTGAACCCAGATTGACGATTTTTGTTATGAAATTCTCTTACCCCCCTTGGGAGGCTGATTAAGGAGTGGGTTGATAATTTTAAACAGCTACTTAAAACTGTAGTAATTATGCCTAAGTGCTGTTATCAGTGAAGAATGGGAGATATTTGTTGGGGAAGGTCAGATTACTTTCTAGAGTGGGTGAATTACTACTAAAATGATTCTTGAGGGATTAGCAATTCAAACTAGTTAGCATAGGTACGCCCAGCCCTGTGTTTCCTGTTGTTGAGCTTGGGGTTTATTGGTGGGTGACTTGGAGGAACTGAAGGATTTCAGTGGAAGTAGCAATGTAACCAGATTCCTATTCTAAAGAGGGATGGTTATGATAAACGGGGTGTCCTTGTAGAATGGTGGCACTAATGATAGGGAGGTCTTTATAGACGGGAAGGCTGTGGAAGAAGTGATAAGGTTGCCTCTAGGGGATGGTGGACAAATGGAGAGGAGGGAACTAGATTTGAGCTTTTAATAATGGATTAATTTATATACATTATCATTTATTTCCCCTACCTGTCAGAAATAATGATAACTCAGTGTTTTCATTTAGATAGGCCCAATAGTCCTTTTCATCTTCAGATTGCTGATGTCAAAGAACTGCTTTTCATTTACTAAGAGTAATAGCAAAAAGAAAAAAAAAATAATAGCTACATTTAGGGTAGAAATTAAATCTTTTAGTGACAGAGCTGTTTCTTTAGATGGAAGGTGAATTTGTGCTTGGGCTATGATAGTAATGGAAATAAGACTTTCAATATAGAACCTGCACAATAACAGCCATTTAGGAAGCAAAGTTAGTATTGCCTAAAATGATCCATAGTGTTTTATGAAACACTTCTTTTATCTCATTCTAGATCATCTGAAAGCATTTCTTAGAAATTTCTGATTGAGTTCTACAGTAGGAAGAATGCAGTAATTGTTGGACTTTTGACAGCATGTCCGTCCTCCTTAAGCCAAGTCCTACCTATTTGGTGCCACCCTGCATCATGTCCTTTTCTCATACCCTGAACTGGAGGAGGGAGCTGTTGCAGTATTCTAATTTTTCTTGTGGTAGGTGGTATTTTCTTGCATTGCGTTTAAGAACTGCCTTCCCATTGTAAATAGGGTAAAAAACAAAAGTTGATGCTAGAATGAGTTTAGTTTTGACTATCTGATTATTTGTTTAGTTTATATATCTAAAAGTGTGTTTTTCTAAAAGGAAAATGGTAGTTATCGCTATGGCCAATAATGAGTAAGATCTTTTCTTGCTTGTTGATCTCTGTATTATGAAGGCTTTGCACCGTAATGCAGTGGTGATGAACCTACCACTCATGTACTGCAGCAGGTTGTTTGTATCATTGAAAGCTCTAAAAGGTTTGCCATCACTGCCATAGTGGAACTAGTGAAAGTTCTATGAACTAGTAAACTTTACCATATATGGTAAAATATAAATGGTTAAATATTTGTATTTTACTATATATTTTACCATATACATGCTAAAGTTTACTAGTTCATAGAACTTTAACTTGATATAGCTATCCATATATCTTTACTCATACTCTCCTTGTTTGGGATAATAAAACAACTTATTTCTTTGTCGCTAGTCTTATTATCCTTAAATTCTCCTTTTGCAACTCCCCAAATATTCTGTAGCAGAACACAAGCCTGATACTGTCCCGCCCTTGTCTCCATGAGTCCTGTGAAGTGCTTAGAGTTGTGGCGTAAGCAAAGCGGAGCTTGGAATTTGATTTCCATTAAGTTTTCTAGCTCAACAAATTTTGTGGCTGGACGTAGTGGCACATGCCTGTCATCCCAGCACACAAGAGGTTGAAGCCGAAGGATCACTGTGAGTTCCAGGCCAGCCTAGGCTACATACATAGTGAGACCTCAAAAAACAACATAGTTTTTCCTTAAAAAACAAAGCAAAAATTTATGTACAGACGCAGACATACTTACACATACATACATACACACATATGTGCTTGGTTTTTGTAAAATATTTTAATCAAGTAATTTTTTCTCTGTGCTTCAGGTACATTTTTACCTATTTGTGAATAATATTTATTGAAATATCTGATACAGGTTGGTGTTGAGACAGGGTATACAATCATAAAAAGATAGAAAATAGGACTATAACTGATGATAAATAAACAAAGGTTCTTTTTTTTTTACCCCCCGGTGCTGGGGATTTAACTCGGGTCCTTGCACTTGTGAGGCTGGCACCGGAACCACTGAGCTAAATCTCCATCCCTAATTGATAATAAATAAAAAGTGTAAAAAGTGGTCTCTGATAATTTTTTGTTTATTTATTAATTATTTTGGGTACTGAACCCACAGCTTTTTGGAAGCTAGGCAAGTGCTGTCTCACTCCGCAGTATTCCCCAACCCTTTTAAAACTTTATTTTGAGACAGAGTCTCACCAAGTTGCCCAGGCTGGCCTTGAATATGTGATCCTCCTGTCTCAGCCTCCTGAATCTGACATTTATCTTTATAATTGTGAAGGCCCAACTCAGCTGAGGCTTTCAAAGAATACTAAGACTAGTAAAAGATGTTTTCAAATGTTTGGAGAAAATGAAGAAAGGCAGCAGGTTATTTTTGATACTGAAATAATAGTACATTTGATTCTCTTTTTAGGAAAGTAATTGTGTAATTGAAATGCTATGTCAAGTTACTGAGTGAGAATTTGATGAGAAAGGGACTAGCTGTTTTTAGTGGCCAGAATTTTCAAAAATTGTAGGTCTAAAAACAAGGTGAATATTTTTGTTTCCTTTTTTTTTTTTTTTTTGGTACTGGGGATTGAACTCAGGACCTTGTGCTTATAAGGCAGGTGAGGCGCCACTGAGCTAAATCCCTGGCCCTTGTTTCCTTATTTTCTTAGAAATCTTGGATGGTAGGAATGGTATGTGAAGGCTGACAGTTTTTTTAAAAACATATTTTGAAGTATAATTGATGTACAATAAATGGTTCATACTTAAAATGTACAATTTGGCAGATATGTATGTACCTATTATGGTCAGCAAACATTAACAACCATCCCCAGAAATTTCCTCATGCCCTTATGAGAGGACACTGAGAAGGAACATTCATTGAGGAAAATAAAGGTTTATGTTGTCCTGGAAACTAAGTGAGGAAGAAGGAGATCAGCTGTGACAAATGTTTACAAATAAGCAAAGTAACAAGAAGTGATATCATTCTATGGTTTGTGAAAGTTTGTGGAAGTTTTCTTCAGATAGCTTCATTTACAAAAAGTGTTTTTTATTTTTTTCCCTGCAAAGTATAAGAAGTAAAGTCATTGCTTGAGTAAGAAGGAGGAGGCATTTGGGGTTGAGGATCAAGAAGGTGTGAAATAGAGTGGGAACGTGCATAGACCAGAGAGTTAAATGCTTTCCTGGCAGCATTAAGAGTGCAGCTGAGGTCTGTGGTTATGAATTTAAAGCATGATCAGCCATGTTTAGATGCCTGATGTCAGTACAGAGTTGGAGAATTAGATTTAACCAGGGTTATGGCTTTGCTAAGTATGATGAAATGAGAGAAGGGCAAGGAAGTTGAGAGTATTTGCAGGGAGTGATTATGAGTGACCATGTACTAAGCTGTAAAAGGAGGGGAGAGAGAACTTCAAAGGGTGAGGGACAGCAGTTTGTGAAAGAGGATGGTGGCTCTGAAAAGGGCAGAGTCTGGATAATACTTTGAAGGTAGAGCATATTGTTCTCTCATGTTGAATGGGAAAACAGAAGAGGGATGACTTCAGTTTTTGGCCTGAGCAATTTTAAGAAAGGAATTGCTGTTAGCTAAGTGCCTGGTACTTTTTCCACATTTTTTGTTGGTTATGTTTTGTTAATTGCTCTGTATAATAAGAAAAAACTTAGCAAGGTGCATGTCTTTAATCCTAGCACCTCAGGAGACTGTCAGGAGGAAGACAAGTTCAAGGCCAGCCTGGGCAACATAGTAAGACCCTGTCTCAAAGTAAAAACACACACAAAAAAATGTGTGTGTGTGTGTGTGTGTGTGTCTGTGTGGCTATATGGGGATGTAACTCTGGGGTAGAATGCTTGCCTGGCATGTGTGGGGCCATGGGTTAAAAAATAAAATAAAATAAAAATTAAAAGTTTTTTCCTAGAAAAATTAAGACATCTAGATATGGCAGTTTGGAAAATGTAACTGTTAAGTAACTGGGTCAGCTATTGTGCATGGGTGCTCTCATGCTTGCACTCCCTCCCAATTATATGTATATAAATATTAATATTAATATCCTAATGTAGTAATAATACACATTTGTTTTTGATTTTTTGAGATAGGGTCTCTCTGTAGTTCAGGCTGGCCTTGAACTCACTAAGTAGGCTAGACTGGCTTTGAACTTACGAAGATCCTCCTGCCTCAGCCTCCTGAGTGCTAGGATTATAGGGGCGCACTTAGGTCTTATTTATTTATACATTTTAAGGCCAGTTTTATATCTTTAATATTCTTTCTCAAGAAGGTTACATTGTTATTTTTAGGTCTTAATTAAAAAATTTAAGGAATTAAAGATATATTCTAAAAAATATAAAACAAAAGAAAGTTTGAAGGCTGATGAATTAGAATTTATTTTATAGTTTAGAGACCACATGAAAATACCTTTTTTATTTACTAGAACTGAATTCCTGAAGTGATATTCAGCAGATTGATTACCTGGAATTTTCAAAGCATAAATCCACCCTAAGTAGAAGAAATTATGCTATTATTAACAACATGCAGAGAACGTTACACACACTTTGGAATAATTCTTCTGGGTAATGCTCAAGGGTCATGAGTTTTGGATAGTGGCTGAGTTGTTGGAGTAATGCATACAATTTTTAAAGTAGAGTTCTTTGAACAGAAGGGCAATCTTTGTGTGTGTGGAAAGGTTTTTTTTTGTTTTTTTTGATACCAGGGATTCAATTTGGGTCCTTGTGCTTGCAAGGCAGGCGGTGGAACCACTGAGCTAAATCCCAGGCCCTGTGTGTGTATGTTTTGATATAATGATTAAATCATTTCATAGCCTTTAGTGTTGTCTTCCATAAAGCCTGCACGGGGGGAGGGGCCTCCTAAATTATCACCACGAAAGAGTTGAAGTCAGTATTTTCAGGGAAAAAAACATTACCATAAGAAGTACAGTATTTTAGTTTGCATATGGTTACTAACAAGGGTTGCTACTTACTAATGCAAAGATGGATGTTAGCATTATGTGATGTTAAAAATCTTGTGAAAAAAAGATAGAAAAGATTGTTTTGGAGAGTGAAGTTGACCTTAAGAGTTTGGTGTCAACTCTGTCATAAACATAACTATTAAATAGATGTTTGGCCTGATTCAGCTTTTAGCAGGAAGGCTTTTTGCAGGTTGTTTGTAGTTCTCACGTTTCCAATTTCTTTTTGTTGCTCTTGGATGTCTTAAAAGGGCAATTTAAAAATATCTAGGAGGATATTTTCTTTAAAATTCAGGAACACCCATTGTACTGTTTATTTATGCTCTTAATTATCATTAAGGGTTTCAGTAAACTTTGTATGTTTACAGGTGTGTGTGTGTTGGAAGCTGAACTTGCAGTTCTTCAATAGAGCAAAGTTATGTGAGACTTTCTTATATACTCAAACAAAACAAAAACATTGGCTCACTGGTTCTTGAGGTCTTTTTCATGAGAAAAGGGAGGGGTTATCTGTTTTTGTATACTCCGTTAAGTAGTTCTTAATTTAGAAGTATTTGATTTATAGATATCACCTAACATCAAGTCTCTGGCCAGCAGCACAGTGTGCCCATGCCTGGTTGTTCCTATTACGACAGTAGTATAGACTCTGCTGTTATGGAACAGTAGAAGGGAAATTATCTTATTTTTGTTGCTGAGACCAAATTCATAGGTTTTCTTTCCTAGTTGGAAATGAGCATTTGTTTTCATTTCAAAACCTTGAGAACTTCATAAAATAATTGTTTAAACAAATAAGTCTAATACATACATACCAAAAGCAATCTAAGCGAACATTTTTTTTTAAATACTAATTTTTTATAGGATTATATGCTTCCATTAAGTGGTGCTTTCCACAAATCCGCTTTTAGAATATTTTAGG